AATGTATAATGCAACATATATATATATATTAATAATATAGATATTTAATACCAGTTGCCTTGGTGAAATGCCACTAGTAGGTCTGGAAATTGAGGGTAAATGTTTTACACATGTTTTAAAATATATAACCATTTTTACAGCTGTTTTATAGGGTTACAGATGAAAATGCCAAAAATAGTGAACTTTTTCTTGTGGGAATGATTTGCTACACAAGCCGACATTACTGTGCCTTTGCCTTTCACACCAAGAGTTGCAAATGGGTGCTGTTCGATGATGCTAATGTAAAAGAGGTAAATTTTTGTACTGCTACCAAATTTCGTGATCTTTACTCCTCTAGAATGCATTCTTCTAACACCAAACTTGAAACAAGTCAAATGTCTTTATTAAAATAAACCTTTAGTTTTGTAAATCAGTTTTCACAAATGAATTTTAGAACTGACTTCGCTACTTTACAGTTCTGCCTTCCAAATGCCACGTTTCAGAATGTTACTGCACTTGTCTACTGTTGAATGTGTACTTTTAATGAAAAAGAAGACCTAATTACTGGCAGCTGTATTCGTAGTCTTGATGTTCTGATGTTAGCCCATGTAATACTGGTTCTAGCTTTTTGCCACAATTTACATAAACTCATGTGCCAAAATGTTGAATCTTAATGTACCTTTGGAATTAGGCATTTGTTACCTGTTGCTTAATAAATTATTCTTTCCATCATTGGGTTCAATGCTGTTGATAAAGTTTTAGCGTTTTGGTTTGGTTTTTTTGTTTCTTCTTAGATTGGAACAAAATGGAAAGATGTGGTCTCCAGGTGCATTCGATGTCACTTTCAGCCATTGTTGCTATTTTATGCGAACCCAGATGGCACAGCTGTATCTCCAGAAGATGCTCCAAAGCAGATTATTCACTGGTCTCAATGCAAAGCAGCGGGAGCAATTGGGGAAGACTTGGGTAATTAAGATTTTTTTTTTAACAGCATCAACTGTATTTCTGAAATGGGGATTATAAAGGAGAAGGTAATAGATTAGCTGCTTTGTTCTTAAATACTTTTGTCAACAATTATCTAAAGGGTCTCAAAAGAAAAGAGATTAGTGTATATATTCAGTATTAGAACTGTTTCATGTCTGGTAAGGGAATACAAATGAGACTCATGGACAATGGGGAAAAACGATTTTCTACTGTAGATTGTTTATAACTACTTTACACATAACCAGTAATTTCAGAAGAAAATTGTATATTTCTATATGCAGATGTTCTTGTGTATGTATTGATACATTTACAACACCTTTAAAATGCTACAAAAAGATACTTTAAAGCTTCATACAAATAGAGAAGATATATTTGGAGCATGTGTGTTTGTTTATGTGTATATATACACACACAGACACACAGCACAATTCAGAACTTTGGGAAAAACCAAAACGAGCTGCAGGAGACATTTTCTCCGAGATTCATGTAGCATAGGCCTCAATATGTAAGAATCCAGTCTTTTGGTTCTGTAGTTTGTACTGCTGTCTTCTTGTGGTTTTTTGGGGTTTGGTTTTTTTTTTTTTTTTCTTAAATGTGAAACATAACATACAAGTAAATTAAATAAAAGGCCAATTGAATTTGGCATGTTCCTCTTCATGTAATGAGTGGCAATAGACATAGACTGTTTCAGGGAAGAAAGAATTGAGGACCCCATTCCACTACGGTCTACCACTATAAATATGGCAGTATATAAAATGTTACAGACCTTATTTTCTAGCATTTTGACATGTGGTGTGGTTTTTTGGTGAGGTTTTTCTCTTGTTCGGGTTTTTTTTTTTTTTAATCTGCAATTAAAAAGTTTTTAATTTAGATAATGGAAACTTTGAATTAGGAAGCCTTTGATTTCTAAAGATAGATATGTTGTTTGATAGGATTTGAAAAGCATTCTGCTCCTAAATCAGACCCCATGAAAGAGAATGGAATTGGAGACCCCACTAATCAGAGGAGTAATAAAAAACTTCAGCCAGATAATTCAGCATTCAGTCGAAGCCATATTCAAGCTAGTGGTGGTAGAGGTCCAGGTATGTATTCCCCACCACCCAGTCCCACCCCCAAAAAGACCCCAACCATGTCTTGTTATGGAATATTTCAGTTGATAGCATTTCAGGTATGTGCTAACCTCTGGACTAGAACTATTTCTAAAGGAAGAATTCCATCATTGACTTGAATGAATCTTTGAATAACAACTGATGTTTAATATCTGCCATGGAATGTTAACTTTTCTGGAGAACTGTAAATGCAAAATTTTTGTTATTACCCCTTGTTATTTCTGCACTAAAGTGGCTCTTGAGGCCTTGATCCATTTCTCAAACATCATCATGCCTTTCAATCATATTGTCAGTTAAAAGGCACATTAGAAACTTGAAGCTGATGGATCTTTTGGAGCACATGGTGTGGCTCCGTGGATCATCGGCTATTTGAGGAACGCTGTTCCCCAACAGTATTGTGATATGCAGCATTATTTGTAGTCCTGTATATTAATGGACTTTGTCTTATGTTTGGAAAGAACAGTAAAAAAAGCTGTCATATCTGTTTAAAAATCCATTCTATCTGTACGTTAGGCTTCCAAGCAAATCAAGCTCTAAGAAGTCATATGAGGCAGTGACTTCTGCATTACTTGTCAGTGCCTTTGCTCTGAACTCCCCATACTTCTCAGGTGGAGAGATGCTGCCTTCTCTTGAGATGTTTCTCCTCTGTCTTTATTGTTGAATTCCTACACTTTTTAAAACTGAGAATGCTCAGCTTGGTAACTTTTTTTGATGGAGTGATGACTCAGAAATGGTCAGTATTTACCTTTTCAGAAATAGGAGGATTTGCTTTCATAAACAGTGACTCCACTGTTTTATTGAAAGTAGACCTTCACATTTAGACAAGGTTACTTAGATTCATTTTTCCAGTATAATTCATAGAATTCAATGCAAATAGTGTCCTGGTTTTGGCTGGGACAGAGTTACTTTTCTTCCTAGTAGCTGGCATAGTGCTGTGTTTTGGACCAACAAGCGTTTCATTACATTTTCTCGCCCCTGTCCAGTTGAGAAGGGGAGTGACAGAGCAGCTTTGGTGGGCGCTTGGCATCCAGCCAGGGTCAACCCACCACAATGGTATATGCTTTGAAAATGGCTCAAGCATTCAATTTTAGTAAGTAAGAGGTGTTTGTAAGACATGCTCGACATAATGCAGCTTTGGTTACTTTCATTAGCTCCGTCTAGTTGACTCCTTGGCGATACCTATACATTTATATCTCTACTCTACACCTTATTTTCTTAATGTGTCATGCAATTCATTAGTCTTTTTAAGTAATACTAATATTAAAAACTAAATGTTACGGTACATGAATATATTTGTGTGTTTTGATGATGAATGACTTCTTAGTAATGATCTTTGACAGAAAGTATTTTTTGCAGCTAAGTTATGTTACAGCGATCAAAAAGACAGGCTAAAGGATATATCCAGAGAGTGTGCTCAGAAAGCTGCTGATATGAAAAACTTCACATCTTTACGAAAAGATGCAGACAGAGGACCAAGAAGAGAGTCTGGGAGACAAAGAGGTACATTTTAAAAATACAATCAGAGAATCAATGGGTTAAATAGCTTTTAGCATCAATAACTAGATGTGCAGATTTTTTTCTCCTTTTAAGAGAACACACTGTAAGATTAGAGTTTCCTAGTTTTCAGTATTCTGAAATACGTGCTGAATTTGTTGAGATAGTGTAAGAAATCTAAGTACTGTAACAATATCAGTTAAATATTAATGAGAACTTTAATGGAGCTTCTTTCTTTTTCTTCTTATAAGATTTGATTGGGGAAGATCGTTCCAATTTTAAGTCAGGGTCTCCTCCAGTTGGAAATGGACTTAGACACTGTGCTGATCAGCGCATATACAGCAGCCAGGGAAAAGGCTCCTATAAGCATGACAATGCACCTCCCCAAGCAAAGCTTTCTGTACAGGTGCTTGGATCAAATAAACCAGAAGCTTTTCCTGTTGGGGAGAAACCAATGATGAGGACCCGGACTGATGGTGTCACAGGCTACGATACAGACACCAGTCAAGATGCTAGGGACAAAGGAAGTGTCAGCAGCAGCAAAAGCAGAAGTAAAGGTTGGAAACCTATGCGAGAGACCCTAAACGTAGACAGCATTTTCAGTGAGACGGTGAAAAAGCAGCATAGCCCAAAGCACAAGGCAAATCCTAACGCTAAATCTAAGCATGAAAAGGAGCGAAGCTTTAACCATTGGCCAAGAGAGAACCAAATCCAGAAAGGTTTAATGACTATATATGAAGATGAAACAAAACAGGATACAGGAAGTCGAAGTTCACTGGATTCGGAAGGAAAAGGGAATGCTGAAAAAAGCAAAGGATTTACAGAGAGAAAAATCCATGGTGATAACTGGCAAATTCAGAGGACAGAATCCGGCTATGAAAGCAGTGATTACATCAGCAATGGATCTGCAAATCCGGACTCACCTGTTATTGAAGGAATCAACCCAGCAGATGTCAAGAATGTTAAAGAAAGTGCTTCCTGCAGGTAATGCTAACGCTCTTAGAACTTGCATAGATTGTATTTACAGAAAAATAAGTTCTTCTGATATTCATGTGTTGTTGCAAAAAAAAAAAATCAAGAAAATATGCTTTGGAACTTTATACGTTTGAGGTCAGGTATGTAGAAGGCTAGCAATGTGTCTAGAATAAGGCTGTGGACAATTAAGTGTTAAGTTTACCTTCACTCTGAGGCTGCAACGCTAGTTCTGTTTGGAAGGCGCTGAGCTGCATTATTAAGACGCTGAGCAAGAACTGCTAAGCCCTCCTGAGGGGCAGGGTGTGTTAATTTGAAATAATTGCTACGCTTCTTTAGTTACAAGTTTTTTAGACTGTGGGTGACTTGCCATCTGCAATGGAATACAAGTGTCTATATAAATCATATCTGTAACAGTTGTACAGACAGGCCCCTGACAAGGGCATGGGAATGGCAGTAGGTCAATCTTGTATACTGTTACTAGTCATTGTTCTGAAATGCAGTTTTCTAGAACACCTCATATATATTGATCACTAGATAATTGATTGACCTGTTTGAAAGAAATCTTTGCTGAAAAGTGTAAAATTACTAAAGCTGGCCAAAAATGTGCTTAGTAGCCAAACTTCATTAAACTTACTAAGAATCAATGTATGCTTGTAACAGCTATGTTGCCCAGAGATGTTGTGGAGTCTCTGTGGAGATGCTCATAACCCAACTGGACGTGGTCCTGGGCAGCCCACTGCAGTTGACCCTGCTTGAGCAAGGGGTTTGGACTAGATGGTCTGAAGATGTCCCTTCCAACTTAAATGATTATGTGGTGCTGTGAAATACAAAGTTATCAACCTTCCACGTGCGGTTTTCTGTATTGTGTGTCTTAAGTTGTATGTGGAACGTAGTTCCTGCTAGAACCCATACGTTCTTCTGTCGAATCTTGTTTATATCCATAAAATGGAAGAGCACAGGTGTGAGACCAAGCCTAGTCACAAATGATTGCTGGATTTGAGCAAGTTTTTGGATGTGTATTTTCATGAAAAGTTATTTTACAGGGGAAGAGAATAGCAAATACCAGGAAATGAAAAGGCTCTGAATTCTCTTAAGCAGAGATGCAAAATTTTAAAACGTTTTTCGTAAAGTATTGTAGCAAGTTACCAGAACAAATTTTTGACTTAAAACATACAAAATACAGCTTCTGTATGAATTGAAAAGTCTTTGATTAATTTGGAACTGCAAGAAAGCAAAATCAGTCATTTGCTTAGTTCTTAGTTTCCTAGGGAATTATTTTATTTTGCATAAATAAGGACATAAAAATGGCCATGCCAGGATAGGGCCAAAAGTTCATCTAACATGCATTCAGTCTATACCAGTAGCTGGTGACAGATGCTTATGAAAGACGACAGCAGGTAGAGTGGTGTTTTGTAAGTGTATTCTTTTGGCCTGTTGCATTCGGCTGCTTTACGAACTTTCCGAACCAGAGATAATGACTGTGGTGTCCACTTCCCATTAAAAAACAATTTTTACTCCATGCCTTTATCTATTCCCCGCTTTTCCTTCCCCCCTCCCACCTTTCTGCTCCCAACAAACTGTACAAAACCCCACGATACAACAAGTTCATGGGCTTTTTATTGGATAATGATAAAAATATGTGTAAAGTTACTCCAAGCCATATTTATATTTTCAGTGGTTACAGTTGCCTCGAACAGTGATTTCTACAGTTGTAACCATGCCACATTTTTAAACATGCCCAAGAGGTAAATGGGATGCCCAAATGCTGCATGTGTCTTTATGAGAGAGACTATGATAAATTTAAAACAACTTAGTCCATGAAGAATCTGCTTACGCTGTTGTTTAAGTATTTGTCAAATACAAAACCCCGTACTTTATCAAAATACAAATGACTTCTTGGGACTTTCAGAAGGATTTTATGTAATTAGAATTGACTGGCAATACCCACTAGTTCCCATCTAACTGTTCAGACTTTGTCTAATAAAAACAAAAGAAATACAAATGAATTACTTGGAAGTTCTTTTAGAAGGTGGAAAAAAATTACTTAGTGTTTTGTTTTCTGTTAGGTTCTTTCTCCATTCTTCCTGTTTCTTTCATATTTTTCCTATCCTTTCAATAACAAGAGTCTTTTTTTTTAATTGAAAAATTGCCACTGTGTATCTTCTTTCCTGCCTTACTCTTGGAGAAGGAAGGAATTGGCAGGGTGTTTGTCAGCTCCCTACCTAGATTGGTAAGGCATGCTTTTTGCTTAAATAAACCAGCAAGATTGACTACATCTGCTGATTTTTTTTTTTTTCTCCTCTTGGGTTTGCTGCTGTAATCTTCCAGTTTTCTTCCAGTTTGAGAAAAAGTTTTTAAATGAAAATCCCTATGAATGAAAGACCAAGTGGCAATCACAACTTAGAAAAATGATGTTTGTTGTCACAACAAAGCATTAATAAATAGCAAAATGTCAAACTAGGAAAATGGACAAGATAGAATGTTAGCTAACAGGTTACACGTACTTAAGATATTGATACTGATGAGATTTTTGCATTTTTGGAAAACTTAAGCTTGTCATAGTCAGATGCTACTATATGTTTAACTTTGAAATATTCAGGGTGTAAACTACTAACACTGAAAAATGTATTTGTTTGACATGGGTGATACTGATGATAAATTAGAAACCATATAGAATACTACCCACATGGGTAATATTCTTTTGCTGCACTAAAGTGGCAATTTTAGGTAAAGCCTACAAATAAATTGAATTAGGTGATCAGTGGTATCTGTTCCATTTGAAAATCACAACAGAAAACAGATATTCAAATCTGTCATGCTTTCTTGTTGAGCTCTGTTAATAAGCATTTTTTGAAATTTTTATTAAATTCTGTAGTTTACAATGACAAAAAGTGCAGTTGGTAGTTCTTTCTCACAGGTGACACATCATTTTTCTGTTGATAGCTTGGGGAGCCAGCTGTCTTTATTAAGCAGGCTGATGCGATATTAAGATCAAGAAAATTTGCTTTTTATGTGCTGTGTATTAGGCATCCTGCTGTTGTACTCTTGAGGGAGGCTGGGACGAGCAGTCGTCCAATCTCCAGAACAAATTGGGAACACCAGCTTCACAAACTGTATTTTTTGTCTGTCCATATTAAAGGCTTTGGGGCATCCTAAATTCCTCTGCATCATCACAGCCTTGTCATATGTAGGAGCAGTGCTAAAAGTACTAAAGGGCCACCCCTACTATCCTATGTATCTTCTGTAAAGTGTGCATGTTGGTAAAAATGTGACAGTGATGATAACAAGGGTCATTTTCACAAAGGCAAAGTTTTTACACTTGCATGCGCTCAAGGCAATAAAGTTTGTGATCATACATCAATAGTTCAAGCCTTCGAATTACATGTCTGCTTCTTTTACAGCGAACAGAACTTGTCAACCAAAAAAGCTGACAATGTGTTACATTCAGTATCCCAGCAGAACAGAAACTTTTATGGTAAGTACTTTAACTTGTATAAAGAATAAGAAATTTTCTAAAAATAATTTAGATGTACTAAAATTTTAATACTAACTTACTAATGTCACACAAGAGATGGACAGATTTCTGATTAGCCTTTTGTATTTTATAATTTTGCTGCATAAGTTAATGTCATGATATTTCATAAAATTGAAAAATGTATATACATTATAATTGCTTTTCTTTGGTGGGTTTTGCGTTTTTGTTTGTTTGTTTGTTTTTACAAATATTTTTGTATTTACAAAATATTTACAAATAACCAAATATTTCAAAGTTAAACAGTTTGTGTGTGAGGTTGGCTGTATTTAGGTGTATTAGAAGAAAATTGGCATGGAATTCATGGCTGTTTGGCCATGATGTTAGGTTTTTTATATACTTTTTTCAGTAGAGAGCTCTCTTGCTGACTCATCGTAGCCTGTGTACTCTTTTTAAAATGGCAAAAGAAGTCTGTTTTGTGGGGTATTTTTCCTCCACAGTGAATTCCAAATTTTGTTCTTGTTCATGTTTTTAACCTTTTCAGTGAGTTAGACTGATAGATAAAGATGGAAAGTGTTCATATCCCTTCTTGGTACATTTTGATGGAAATGTGATGGAGCAGCAGTTCAATAACCGTATCACTTTTTTTCAGGGCATTTAAAGCATTCTGTTCCACAAAGCACCTTCATTTATTCAGTTTCTTGGCTTTCTTGTAAAGCAAATGTACAGTGTAAATGGATTCCTAGCTATCTGCCATGATATATGGGTTCCCAAATGGAGGGGTTGGGGTTTTTTCAGCGCTCCACCATCATGTGAAGAAAATTGTTTGTGTTGTGATGGTAGCAGCATCTACTTCTGTGCTAGGTCATGAACATGCGTGGTGGGAGTTGACCTGTTCTTAGCATCTCCTTTCAGACAGCAGTGGCAGTGCTCAGCTGTGTGCCGAGTCATGTAAAAGCATGGCATGTCTCCCAAACAGTTGTTTCACATGACCTAACACCACAGTAACAGGCTAGGTGATTTTTTTTTTTGTAGCGTTTGGATCTATTTTAAATACGGTATTTTGGTGTGGAAAATATAAGTATTGTTTTGGGAGGCCAGAGCTTCTTTATAAATTGTTAGATAATCAGGATACAATGATTCTTCTTGCCACAGTCGTCCTCTCCTGGTGTGTTTTGTTACAACGCGTTTTCTGTATAGGTTGATAAACAGTTTGTCCTTCCTTGTGCATGTCCTATACCACTGCCTCCTGAGGAAGTGGCCAGTGCGTAACTGCTTCTGGCTGGCATAGGTCCTCCGTGCAAGAACCGTAAACACTATTGTTCACCGGTATTAGTGATTTTACCAAGGCCTGTAGTGACATGGCAAGGGGCAATGGTTTTAAACTGAAAAGGGTAGATTTAGATTGGACATAAGGAAGGGATTTTTTACAATGAGGGTGGTGAGGCACTGGAACAGGTTGCCCAGAGAGGTAGTGGAGGCCCCATCATTGGAAGGGTCAAGGTTGGGTTGGACAGGGCTGTGAGCAGCCTGATCTGGTGCAACATGTCCCTGCCCATGGCAGGGGGTTGGACTAGGTAATCTTCAAACGTCCCTTCCAACCCAAACCACTCTATCATTTGATGATCCTGTGATTTTTGGATGGCTCAATCCTGGCATACAACATCCAGTATAATTCATTTTCACTGGCCTTAAATCGGTACTTCTTTTTGATCCAATGGAAATGATTAAATGTAAATCTCCATTTCTGCTGCTTATATTCTGCTGCTTATATTCTGCTGCTTATATTCTGCTTTAAGAACATATTTCTGTTTAATGTTTGGGGTTTTCTGTAGCAAGTGTGCATGTTCCTTCCCTGACCCCCCTGAAAAAAAAAAACCACAAACCACCAACCCAAAAACAAACAAACAAAAACCCAAAACCAAAAAAACCCCAAACCACAGTAATTTTGTTCACTCCCTGTGTCTTCCCCAAAATCATTTCCATGAGCTTTCTTTGCGGATACTAAGGAAGACTTTTTAAAAATGTCCAGGTGGACTATGGTACCACTTGTTTTCCTTCAAGATATGAAGCAATACCAGGAAGAAACACTAGTAATAAGGAAATCTACTTCCTTTTACATACTAATATGTCTGTTGAGTTTTTTATAAGGTTGATAAATGCCTTGGCATATAAATATTATAGGTCAGCATGAGGCCAGCCAAAATCATTATCTACTGTTGCTGGAACAATGGAATGGTGCTTGTACAAAGAGGTGCAATAAATATTAGGCCACTTCCCCAGGAAATGCTTGATTTTTATAGAAATCATACTTCTTTTCAAATAATGTATAGTATAGTTTCTTCTAAGACTTAAATTGGGGGGGGGGG